GTACAGAATTTTTCCCCACAGCTCCACCAAAGAGCAACACTAACAACAACGCCTTTGCAGAGTGAGTACCAAAGTGCTCTCCTCATCAGTATGATGGCGTCCCAGTGCTGTTATGAGTGATCATTTTTGTTCCCTCTCAGATTTTCATTTGAAAGAGAAGGGACTCCGGATGAGTTTTACAATCGTTGTGAGGATGAGGAGGCAGGTATGGCACAAGCAACAAGAGATGATATGCTGCATATGCTAAATCGAAACCACGACCGAAGGTCTTTGATAAGACTTTTTAATGTGGCTGTGGAAAATTCTGGACGGATAATAACTCCAAATGAATAAACTGAGACATGAGCCATAGGAATGCTTCGTAATTGCTTATTTATATATTTATTAATGTATTTATTTTACCTCTTTTAGCCAGCAGACATGCCTGGAACTTCACAGTGAGAACAGGCAGAACACAGGTAATGTTTTATTGAAGGTTGACTCATCCAACAACAGATTATGCAGGCGATATATGAATACTTACCTTCTCTATGCAGTTCCCTTATGACCCTAACTATGGTGACAGTCAGAGTCAGAGTTCACACACTGCAGCCGACCACCTCGTCCAAGAGGTAGGTGTCAAAGTGGCCGATCAGGTCTTCTTTTCTACTCTAATTAAATGCCACGTCTAACATCTGCTGTCAGGTTTGTCAGAGATGGGTTAAGTTAAAGCTAGTTCTGGACTGAATTTACCTGAAAGTATTGTATAATTTAACATAACACAATGGTTATTAATACACTAAAAATAATACTGTACGCGAGCACAAACCTGAATGTTGTTGTTTCTTTAGGCTCTAGAGAAGAGGGGACTGGTCTCCCTGGCCAGGGACCCGGGCTTCGTCTCATTAACGAAGAAAGAGATGGCTGAAGCAATGCACATCTCAGTATCTGACGTGGAGGGTGTGGCTCAGAGCATCCTCAAAGAGCGCTCCAGGAGCATGACCCCCGTTAAAAAGAGGCGTCCCATCCCTGTCCCTTCTCCTGCCCCAGCGGCGGCAACAGTGGTAACAGGCCGGCCAGATCCAGCTGTGAGGAGAAAGAAACGTCCGATTCCCACGGTTCCCTCCGCAAAGGGACCGTCTGAAACCGACTCCGGAGTGTAGGGACTGTCAGTGTAGGGATTTTACATGGTTATCATGACAGTTTTGTATTTTTAGTGTGTGACTCCAACTCACATCACTTTACCAAGCTTGTTGCTTCTTTGTAAATCTGTAACAGTCAGAATGGCTCAACGCCTACAGACAGTTGGGAGGTTTCATGTTTTGGTTGAAACAGTAACTGAGAAGTAACAATATATCTAATAATGAAACATCTAATACTTCAGATTTGACGAATTAATAAAAACACTGTACTTGTCTCAGAGTAAATGGATTGATGCACTTCTTTCTTTGTAGTGTTTGTTGAGGTTATCCATTCCATAGTCTTTGGGACAGCCAATCAGTGAGCCGCGTGTCTTACTAATGAGGAATGAGGAAAGTCGGAAAGTGACCTGTGGTGAAAATGTCACTCAGTGAATTCATACAGAAGTTAACTTTACTGCATCTTTACTGTGATGCAGTTCAAACAAGACAATGGCACAGGACTCCACTAGGGGGAACCAGTGGTTTCTTTGCATTCAGGCCCCAAAATATTTAAGCATCTTAAAGGGGCTCTGGTGCTAACAGTGCAAGATGAAGGTTGTGAAGCAGTGTCCTCTGATCTATTAGGACTTCACTGTGTTGTAATCTGTTAGTCTCGAACGAGATTTCTTTTGCTCACAAATGTTGTTATATGAACCATGAAAGGAAACTGAGGTCAATCTAATGGAATTATTTACTACTGATCTAGCTATAATAAATATTTTATGAATTTCAAACACAAATTGAAGCAGTTGAGCGGTGCCTGCAGTTTTTACATCACTCTAACGCTTCACACATGAATTTGTAATGAATAAGTGTTGGGAGAAATTTAGTAAAGATTTATCAGCATACCTGGGGTATGGTTGATT